AAGCATGGCAGAATTCATCCTCGCATTGAAAGCAAATTTCCGGTGATGAACCATGAAGGCTAGAAATGGAAGATCAGACGGAGAAGGCAGAGAAAAGCGTATGAGGAAATTTGAGACCACGGAGTGATAACCATACACGCGGTGCTGAAATGGGAAATGAGTTCATTTTGCGTGCTGTTGAAATTTCTGTTTATGAAGAGATCACTTGGTGCATCTAACTACCAGCGTTGTTCAAACCAATGAATTTGACCAGCTGACTTATCGATTAACTGATTATGCCAGAAAGAGGGGAAATTAACCATTCAAATATCTACAGATTTTCGAAACGTGCAAAACGCGACGTAGCGCAAATCGTAAACAGCTAAGATAAGAGGACGATTTTAGATTTTCAGGTACGGTATTGAACAGTACCATACAGGCATCTGAGAACGTGCAAAATTGAGAAACACAGAAAGCGCCGCTGGTAGTTTAGACGTACTATATCGTACTGAGGGCGAATCTAATTGATGAACCGTGATAGCATGTTTGATTATAGATATTGATGTCGATATAGGAGGTGTAATAAAGAGAATGCTGGAAAGTGAGGACGAACAAATGAGAATGATGTGTGAGGCACTTAGAGTTGAAATTGATGTTTCTATTTTTAATGAAATTGCTTTTAGCTGACAAATATCACCGTTGCGAAACGTAACAAATTTAATCCATTGAGTACAACGGGAAAAGTGCGAGAGTAACCCCTCAAGAATCTGTAGGTGTTAGAAGCGTGATGGTATGAAACTGCGTAATGGTACACATTTCAGAAGACAACATGTTCGATTTTCAGACATGTTGTTGAACAATGCCGAACAGGCATCTGGGTAACGTGTAACACTGAACCAGTCCAGTTTGAACGCACGGCAGAAGTCCAATATATATCGAAAGCAAACTTCGGAGATGACGCAGAATGGATAATAAAGAAGCAATTATGTAGAGAATAACCTAAGTATACAAGATATAGTAAAGAAAGCTCAAAATGCAAGGTCAACGGAGCGAGGAAGATACTAACTGTGAAAATGTATTTGTTATATGTTTCCATGAGAGCTTATACTTATGATGATAAATATGCGTTGAGATATCAGTTTTGCTTGAGTCAGGAAATTTTATTGATTGATCATGTTAGAAAGA